AATGGCAACCAAGATGAAAAATTCTTACTGTAACTGTGCATTTTGTTGTGTGAGATTTTGTCAGGTTCATCTGTGGTTAAATATCAGCATTAACACCATCAAATAATACGTTTTAGGAGGTGTTTGTTCGGCAATGGCACAAATGGATTTCTGGTATTTATGCTTCATTTAAAATTTTCAGTCCTCCACTGTGGAAAATGGCTGGTCGTCAATTATTTCCATTACCTCTTCGGTTATTGAGCTGGCTTTTGCACTGCCTTGGTCTGGTCGAGTACCTGCTGTATCGGACTTCCATCTGCAGCTGCTTTCGTTTGTGCCCGCTGGCTAATGTTAGAAGCAAGTGCAAACAATCTTTCTAATCTTCGCACATATTTTTCTTCTCACATTGTCTGGAACACATAGGTAATATTTAATCATTTCCAAAGGCAGACCAAGCAACATCTCAAGGCACACTTATGTCCCACGGCCCACTGGTTGAAAAACACAGACATAAGAGAAAAAAATATTACCAAAACCTTAAATAATTAATTCATGTTTTATAGATAGATAGATACTTTATTGATCCCCCATAGGAGAAATTCAGGTGTCCAGCAGCAGAAACATATCCATCCATACAAATAAATACATCATTCTAAAAGTTACGAACAATAGTGCTAGTAATAGTTTCTGCTCGATCCGCTTGGTTCAGACCGTGAATCCTCTCTGCTGCTCTGGTTTGGATCAGTGTAAAACCATGAACAATGTCCTGCAGTAACATTTACAGCTAGAAAAAAATGAGTAAGAGGACTTTACTTTTACATTTAAATCGATAGGAGCCAGAGCAAATTGGAGAAAAACTCTGCCCATGAGCACTTCCTTATTGGGCTTCATTAAGCTAGCAGACAAGTATTTCCCATCTGCCTACAGTCTATGGTCAAACCCTGGCTTACACATGTAATACTTTCACATGTGGCCTCCATAACCATTGTGTGTATCTGGGACATGTGAGAACGCTCGTCCCCTGCGGAGCCTCTGTTTGTCAGCCGCAGATGTCGTCTCGGCCTCGGACGCACCTCCACTTCAGTGCGGTTGCTACGGGAGACAATTACTTAAAATTAGGCTCATGGTGATTATTCGTGAAGAAACAGTCTCTTCTTCTCTTTCAGCCATTTTACCACATTCTCCTCATCAAAAACAAACCTGGGTTAAGCATAAAAGAGGACTTCATGATCTTTTAATTTTGTTTAGACCTGGAGCTGTCTTTGGCTCCATCCACGCTAATATCAGGAGCCTCTGACACCTCGCCCTGCCCCTTCTGTCAAAAAGCTTCCATGTCAAACTTGTTACACTATGATCTTCAGACTATGAGGTCAAGTTCTGAGCAGTTTTCTGTCATTTCAAAGTAACTCCACGGGTCCAGGCTTCAGTATATATCAAAAATAGGATTAGAGTAAGTAATCTTTTTTATATACCGCATTTCACAGACCAGAGTCACAAAGCGGTTTACAATTGTGGGCCTTTGTCTCCCACTCCACACAGAGATGGGAGCGGAACAGCGGGAGAACATGCAAAATCCACTCAGAAAGGCCCTGTTCTGACCAATATTCGAACCCAGGACCTTCTTGTTGGGAAGTGAGAGTGCCGCCCACTAGAGGCCATTGTGTAAGAAAAATAACCTACAAAAACAATTAAATCTAAGGTTTGAGGCCTTTATTTTGTCATTCTTTATAATCTACTGTGATCATTTATTCACAGAATGCCTTGTGTGATTATTACGTTTTTCTTGTTTCGTTAATTACTATTCCTTGTGCTATACAAATAACCTTGCCTTGCTTGTGCTCTCTAAACACTGGAGACAATAGCGTTTAATTGTCCCTGAGTGGAGGTACCTGCAGTGACCTCCAGAGTGTGAGTCACGGTCTGTGGCCTCTGTGCATGTGGCCCCTCTCCTCTTTTGATCCGCTTGAACATGAGGGTTTTGTCTTACGTCAAATACGAAGACTTTGAATCACTAGGATGGGAAATATTAGCCGTTTTGTGGAATAGTCTCCAGAAAGAGAGTTTAAGGAGAAAGAGAGAACAGGAAGAGGGACTAGAGAGAGACTCTTGAGAGAGAGAGTAGAGAGAGAGACCAGAGAGAGAGACCGGAGAGAGAGACCAGAGAGAGAGACCAGAGAGAGAGACCAGAAAGAGAGACCAGAGCGAGAGACCAGAGCGAGAGACCAGAGCGAGAGACCAGAGCGAGAGACCAGAGAGTGAGACCAGAAAGAGAGAGACCAAGGAGAAAGTCTAAAGAGAGAGACCAGTGAGAGGGACCAGAGAGAGAGAGACCAGAGAGAGAGACCAGAGAGAGAGACCAGAGAGAGAGACCAGAGAGAGCGACCAGAGAGAGAGACCAGAGAGAGCGACCAGAGAGAGAGACCAGAGAGAGAGACCAGAGAGAGAGACTAGAGAGAGAGACTAGAGAGAGAGGCCAGAGAGAGCGACCAGAGAGAGAGACCAGAGAGAGAGACCAGAGAGAGAAACCAGAGCGAGAGAACAGAGCGAGATACCAGAGAGAGACTCGGGAGAAACTCGGAAGAGACCAGAGAGAGACCAGAGAGAATTGTCAATTCTACTTGTCGCCAAGACGATTACTAAGGCAAGCTGGAGTTTCCCCGTGCGAATGAAGGCATCTGATTGGTCAATACTTGTAAGGATCAGTGAGAGCGCTAAACCACTGAAATTTAAGTCCCAAAATGGTGAGTTACTGAGCTAGAGGAGTTTACTATTTACATGAAAGACAATAGAAGCCAGAGCGAGATCGGGCAAAATTACGTCCGTGAGCACTTCCCCCACTTTGTACTAAAATATTTGGACACCCCTTGCCTCTGGTATAAGACTCTCCTCATCCATCACCACTGTCGCTTCTGCTCCTTCTAATCTCATTCTCTTTACAATCTGCTTTCATCTGGGTCCGGTCTGCGTTGCTTCTGTTTTTTCCGCGCTTGTATGTAATCTACCTTTGATATTTTTAGTTTCTCTTCTTCCCCCCCACACACCTGCAGAAAGCACAATAAAAGCTGACCTGGTTTCTCCTCAGAGACCAGAGCACGCACAGTAATCCAACACTGGGCCCAAGAAGCAGAGGGAGTCGTGCATTTGTGTTTTGAGAGACGGAAACTCAATACTGCAACTTATATCTGCTCAAATGAGACAGTGTTATGGTCCAGCTCCATATAATTAGACAATCATGAAATCAACTATGAAACTATGAAACAAAAAATAAAAAATAGTTTTTAAAGGAGACATAAGCACTATTTCCACCAGCTCTAGACTCTACTCTAGACTCTACTCTCCCCTGGTTGGGAGTGTTTCCGCCGGTCCTGTTTCCACTGGCCCTGTTTAACCGGTACCAGGTCCTTCTTTAGTCCCTCTTGGCCCTAGTTCTTATCCCGGGCCGAGCTGGTACCAACTGACTTTGATTTACTGACTCATTTTTCTTTGTCCCTTTGTCGTTTCATTTGAAAGTTTTTACTCACAATATGGTACACAGCTAGAATTGTTTTACTTTTTCTTTGATTTTAATTCTCTGTACAGCATCGGTCCTGGATCTACAGCCTCAGTCCTGGATCTACAGTCTCAGTCCTGGATCTACAGCCTCAGTCCTGGATCTACAGCCACAGTCCTGGATCTACAGCCTCAGTCCTGGATCTACAGCCTCAGTCCTGGATCTACAGCCTCGCTTTTCTATCATGTTTTCCCATTGGGTTTTTGAGTGGTTTCTCACCGAAGCAGGAGGGTCTAAAGGCAGTGATGGTCCAGGAGATTTATTAACATTTCTTGAGGGGATATATAGCACCCTATGTGGACCTATGGCTTATGTGAGTCAGAGTCATTGGTTTCCTCCAGGTGCTCCTGTTTCCCCAACTCCAAAAACATGTACAATATATTGTGACCCCCTCCCACAACAATTGTAAGGCGCTTTGTGACTCTGGTCTGTGAAAGACACTAAATAAACAAAAACTGCTCACTTACTTGTGTTTGTTATTAATGCCCTGTTTTCCTCCTGTTTGATTCTCTGATATTTTGTTGGCAAATTAACAACTTTGTAAACTGCTGTTGAGATTTACAGTAAGTCTGTACATTGAATTTAATTGAATATTAATTAAATCTCTCTCGCTGGTCCCTTTCTGGTTTCTCCCTTTGGTCTCTCTCTCTGGTCTATCTCTGGTCTCTCTCAGGTCTCTTGCTCTGGTCTCTCTCTCTGGTCTCTCTCTGGTCTCTCTCTGGTCTCTCTCCTGGTCTCTCTTCTGGTCTCTCTCTGGTCTCTCTCCTGGTCTCTCTCTGGTCTCTCTCTCTGGTCTGTCTCTGGTCTCTCTCTGGTCTCTCTCTCTGGTCTCTCTCTGGTCTCTCTCTGGTCTCTCTCCTTGGACTCTCTTCTGGTCTCTCTCTGGTCTCTCTCCTGGTCTCTCTCTGGTCTCTCTCTCTGGTCTGTCTCTGGTCTCTCTCTGGTCTCTCTCTCTGGTCTCTCTCTGGTCTCTCTCTGGTCTCTCTCCTGGTCTCTCTTCTGGTCTCTCTCTGGTCTCTCTCCTGGTCTCTCTCTGGTCTCTCTCTCTGGTCTGTCTCTGGTCTCTCTCTGGTCTCTCTCTCTGGTCTCTCTCTGGTCTCTCTCTGGTCTCTCTCCTTGGACTCTCTTCTGGTCTCTCTCTGGTCTCTCTCCTGGTCTCTCTCTGGTCTCTCTCTCTGGTCTGTCTCTGGTCTCTCTCTGGTCTCTCTCTCTGGTCTCTCTCTGGTCTCTCTCTGGTCTCTCTCCTTGGTCTCTCTTCTGGTCTCTCTCTGGTCTCTCTCCTGGTCTCTCTCTGGTCTCTCTCCTGGTCTCTCTCTGGTCTCTCTCTCTGGTCTGTCTCTGGTCTCTCTCTGGTCTCTCTCTCTGGTCTCTCTCTCTGGTCTCTCTTTCTCTCTGGTGTCTCTCTGGTCTCTCTCTCTGGTCTCTCTCTGGTCTCATGGCTGTAACACCCCTTGTCTTGTCTCTCCCTCAGTCTTCCACCTGTCCCAACGTTTCACCACGGTCGTACCTGAGAGCTGCATGCTGATCCTGCTGGGCCTGGTTCTGGGGGGTATCGTGCTCGTGGCCAATAAGAAGCAGCTGTACCAGTTAGAGCCCGCCCTCTTCTTCCTGTTCCTGTTGCCAACCATTGTGGGGGACGCAGGGTACTTCATGCCCGCCAGGCTCTTCTTCGACAACCTGGGCGCCATCTTGACCTACGCCGTGGTCGGGACGCTGTGGAACGCCTTCTGCACCGGCTTCTCCCTGTACGCCGCCAGGATGCTCAACGTCATTGGTCAGAGAAGTTCAATATTACAAAAAAGTCTGATTATAAAGCCCCGTTTCCACTAGCCCTACTCTTCCGTGCTCTACTCTACTCTACTCTACTTTATTTGGCTCTACTGGGAGCTTTTTCTTCGATGCTCTTTTACCAGTACCGTGTACCTTTTACTACCTCTTGGTCCTGGTTCTATCAAGGCCGAGCTGGTACTTGAAGCGTTCAAAAGCCCTGTGTCCGCTAGCCCTACTTGGCCTTACTCTACCCTACTTTTCCTGGTTGTGTTTCCATTATGTTTTAGAATCAGAATCAGAATCATTTTATGTTATGTAAAGTAACAGGAGGCCACAGACTAGGAAATTACTTTGGCTCTCGGTGCAAACAAGTCAAAAGTAGAAAATAGAAGGCGTAATAAAAATAAGGCCCTGTCCACACGAAGTCAAGCTTAGGCCTAAACGCAAAAATACTTTATCAATCCAGTGTATCGTCCATACGAGGCCGGCGTTTTGGGGGGGTGTAAACGAACATTTTTGAAACTAGGTCCCAGAGTGGAAAGATTTCAAAACTCCGTATATGCCGCTCCGTGGTTACTGCCTCTCCGCAATGTATCTGAGACGCTTGCGTCATCGCCCCGCCTCTTGTTAAAGCACGCATGCGCCGCACTCAGAAAATAATGACAACAACAATGTAGCTTGTTGGTTTTGTAATCCAGTGTGACCCGAAGCAACAGTTCAACCTCATCGTCCGTCCATACTAATGTAGTACCAGCTCGCCCACTCGCCATGTTGTCTGTTTACAAAATTCCGCGCATGCCCACGGAAGTTTGGGCTTGATCCCGTCATTGCGTCACAGCGCCACCAACAGGTCTGGCATAGTTTCACAGCGTTTTCAGGCGTATTGACTACATTCATATGGACGCACACATTTACTGAGCTAACTCCGTGTTTACAGAAAAAGTTTCTGAAATTATAAGCGTTTTGTCTTCGTGTGGATATAGCCTAAGTCTTAATAAAATGTATCTGGTAATAGATCCTAGGAACGTACCCACAACAAACCTTGGTAACCATAGCAGCACTTCCAGCTGCACTCTGGCCAATCACTGTCAGTTAGAACACTTTAGTACTAGAGTAGAGTAGAGTAGAGTAGAGTAGAGTAGAGTAGAGTAGAGTAGAGTAGAGTAGAGTAGAGTAGAGTAGAGTAGAGTAGAGTAGAGGGCCGGTGGAAATGGGGCTCATGACATTAGTTAAAAATGAATATCTCCCTTCGTACAGTTGAATTGAGCAAGACGCTTGTTAAACCTGACACTGCTGCGTCACTGACACATGTTGTTATTGCACAGTGACACGTGGCAGCTGCGTCTCGTTATTCTGCACGATTATAAACAGACGTGTTATTGCACCATAACCACAGCTGAGGAGTATTGCACGTATCTCTGTGCAGACGCCAAGGTGCAGGCCGACCTCATGGACTTCCTGCTGTTCGGCGCTCTGATCTCAGCCGTGGATCCGGTCGCTGTGCTCGCCGTGTTTGAGGAAGTGCACGTCAACGACACGCTCTTCATCATCGTCTTCGGGGAGTCTCTGGTCAACGACGCCGTCACCGTGGTGAGCGGTCACATGGCAACGCAGACAGGAAGTGAAGGGCAGATGAAGGGCAGCAGATCTGGTCATGATGATTTTTGCAGGGCACTTTCGGACCATTACTCAGGCTGTAGTAGAGTCATATTTCCTAATTACAGCGGTCACAATGTGTTCTTTCTAAGGTTAAAATAATTAGTCTATTTTGTCTCTCTCTTTGGTCTCTCTCTCTGATCACTCTGTGGTTTCATTCTAGGCTCTCTCTGATCCTTCTTTCTGTCCTTTCTCTGTGGTCTTTTGGCATCTTTCTTTGGTCTCTCTCTCTCTCATTAGTCTCTCTCTGGTCTCTATCTTGTCCCTCTCTCTCTTTCTCTCTGGTCAGTCTCTGGTCTCTCTCTGGTCTCTTTCTTTAAACTCACTCTGGTTTTTAGTCTCTATTTGGTCTCTCTCTCTCTTCTCTCTTTGGTCTCTCTGGTCTCTCTCTCTTCTCTCTGGTCTCTCTAGTCTAGTCTCTCTCTTTTCTCTCTGGTCAGTGTCAGTCTCTGGTCTCTCTCTCTGATCTCTATCTTTTATCCCACACTGGTCTCTTTTAGTCTCTATTTGGTCTCTCTCTCGTCTCTCTCTCTCGCCTCTCTTTGGTCTCTCTGGTCTCTCTCTGGTCTCTCTAGTCTCTCTCTCCGACCTTTCTTTCTGGTCTCTCTAGTCTCTCTCCTGGTCTCTATCCTGGTCTCTCCCTCTGTTTTCGTCTTGACCTTCTAAAGCGTCTGATAGAGAAACTGTTTCCACGGCTCTTAAACCTCAGTCTGATTAAGTCTCAGCAGGACACAAACTCCCTGTGAAGTTTTTTTTGGCGAATCACAAAAGGCAAACGGCGTCTCACAGAGCAACTATTTTTACACCCGGTTAAATGTTTGTGGATTAACATGAACTTTCTAATCCCAGGCAGCACTCAGAAAACAAGCTAATCTGTGCTACTATGTGGAAGATCAGAAGAAACTCACAAATGCAGTCAATGACTTTGGCGAAAGTGTGGGAATTGTGGGATTTTGTTTCATTATTGGGAGCAGTGAGAAAATGTTAGGATCAAAAGGTTCTCATATGAACAGATAATAAATACAACACTGTTAGACATAAACTTTAGGAATTACCACAATTTATTTCCTGTGATTATAGGTGATTGTTAAAGCTGGGGTACATGACTTTTGTAGGTTAATTAATAATATGTTGTTTGTACCAGCAGAAATAGTCTTGTAAAAGTAAAATGTCTGCTTTTCTCTATTTCACTCTCTACTCAGCTTTACTGTACTTTACTCTATTGTACCCTACCCTAGACTCTAGTCTGGTCTCTCTCTGGTCTCTCTCTGGTCTCTCTCTGGTCTCTCTCTGGTCTCTGTCCCTGGTCTCTCTCTGGTCTCTCTCTGGTCTCTCTCTGGTCTCTCTCTTTTCTCTCTCTGGTGTCACTCTGGTCTCACTCTTGTCTCACTCTTGTCTCTCTCTGGTCTCTCTCTTGTCTCACTCTTGTCTCTCTCTGGTCTCTCTCTGGTCTCTCTCTGGTCTCTCTCTGGTCTCTCTCTGATCTCTCTCTGGTCTCTCTCTGGTCTCTCGCTGGACTTTCTCTGGTCTCTCTGGTCTCTCTCTTTTATCTCTCTGGTGTCACTCTGGTCTCACTCTTGTCTCTCTCTGGTCTCTCCTTTTTATAACCAGTGCCAGGTCCCTCTTTAGTCCCTCTTGGCCCTGGTTCTATCCAGGCCGAGCTGGTACTAAAGTGTTCTAACTGAAAGTGATTGGCCAGAGAGCTGCTGGAAGCCATGGTTACCAAGGAATATCCCAAGATAGTGGTTGTTGTAGGTGGGATATGGCAGAGTAGAGCTGGGCTGGTGGAAACAGGGCTATAGAATCACAACATAATGTCTTCATCATCTCATTAGAAATCATTTTATCTTTTGTATACCTGTATAAAAGAGCCCTTTGAGTCACTATTTGACCCTATGGGCTGAGAGCTGATTGGCTGAGTAAGGCTGGTCCTCTGTTTTTCCCTTTGTCTGAAAAATCTGATCTAAATATGTGACAGAGGCCAAACTAGTGATAGAAGCAGCAAACTGTCTTCAGAGCAAAGAGACGCTGTTACAAAGTGGGTTGTGGTTTAAAAAGTTAGGTGCACCAGCTTTAATTCTTTTTAATCATTTTCTGACAAAGACACTTGCATGGCTTCATATAAAAAGCACTGGTCCTGCACTGGTTCAGTTAAAGGCCACATGTGTGAAACTCCAGTCACCTGCTGCAGTTTAATCCTCTTGTAAAATCACTGCTTTCACAAACACAGTTCTAAAAGGTTTTTCTGGATACGTTCATGACAGGGCGATGAAAATGTGTTTGTATGGCACAGTTCAGACACAAGGCAACTCAAAGTGCTGAACTAAACAATCAGACAAGGCATTAGAATCATCACAAACATTTTTTAAGCCTGTCTCACATTTTCAGGAAGATTTTTTAGCTTCATAAATCCGAAAAGCTGCCTCCTCATGTTTAGTTCTGACTCTGGGCACCAGCAGGAGGTCTGTCCCTGTGCTCCTCAGAGTCCCAGCAGGAGGCCTGTCCCTGTGCTCCTCAGAGTCTCAGCAGGAGGCCTGTCCCTGTGCTCCTCAGAGTCTCAGCAGGAGGTCTGTCCCTGTGCTCCTCAGAGTCCCAGCAGGAGGCCAGTCCCTGTGCTCCTCAGAGTCCCAGCAGGAGGCCTGTCCCTGTGCTCCTCAGAGTCCCAGCAGGAGGTCTGTCCCTGTGCTCCTCAGAGTCCCAGCAGGAGGCCTGTCCCTGTGCTCCTCAGAGTCTCAGCAGGAGGTCTGTCCCTGTGCTCCTCAGAGTCCCAGCAGGAGGCCAGTCCCTGTGCTCCTCAGAGTCCCAGCAGGAGGTCAGTCCCTGTGCTCCTCAGAGTCCCAGCAGGAGGCCAGTCCCTGTGCTCCTCAGAGTCCCAGCAGGAGGCCAGTCCCTGTGCTCCTCAGAGTCCCAGCAGGAGGCCAGTCCCTGTGCTCCTCAGAGTCCCAGCAGGAGTTTTGAATACGCTACAGACAAATAAGATAAGAATTTCCAAGTCTGTTTTAGACACTTTATTTTTAATGTTATGTTTTTCAGATTAGAATTTTAAAATAATTTACACTGACGGGAGACCTCAGGTACCACGGTGAGGCAGCTTTGGCCTGTCCTTTCGTGGGAGCACATCCCTCCCTCTCTCAATATGTCCCCCCGAGGTTTCTCTTCTTTTTCCCTCTGGGTTTTTGAGTAGTTTCTTGCCGTTGCAGGAGGATCTAAGAACAGTAATAATCAGGGAAATTTAAGGATATGTGATAATGCTGTTTCAGCTACAGTTGAACCTTATGAAATCTCACACAACAAAGAGACAAAGTTAATCTTTTACTTGTTACATTTTACAAGGAGAAAGTCTTGACAGAGGCAAGGCACAGACCCTAGCCTCTCTCAGGACAAGTCTGAAGATTCACAGATGGCAAGCCCCTTTTGGTAGAACAAGACACACCTTCGTATGCAGATGGGAAAGGAAGAAACCAACACAACCAAAGGCACTTAGCATATGAGCTCCCCAGACCTCCCGGTGTCTTCCTGAAGCTAAAGTGAATTACAATACAGAGCATTCAGCATATAGCCACATATGATTTACCAAAATGATAACTTAAGTTACATTCCAATAACAATATGTCTGGATGGTGGTCATTCTGTGCCCTATGGACCAATGGCTCCTATGTGTTTGTCATCATTCCTAATCCATTTCTGTTGTTGATGATGTTGGTGCTGTGATTTAGGGATTTACACAAATGTCGCCACTGCTTTTTGTTTCTTTAAACCGTAATCTGTGGAGAGGCCTAAATGTCGCTTCTGTGCTTCTGTTCCAGGTCCTGTACAAAGTCTACATCTCGTTTGTGGAGGTGGGACCAGAGAACGTTCAGACAGCTGACTATTTCAAAGGCGTGGGTGAGGAAACGATGCACTACTGTAACCATGGAGACGTTTGTGTTGTCTGTAACTGTTTCATATTCCTTTAACACAAGAAGTCCCACAGCTCCCATTCAAACCAGTGGCATTCTGAAAAATCTCCACAAAAATATTCAGCTATACACATTTTTTATGAAAAGTTAGATTTTTACTATAGTGCTGCATTTAATCGAATTTAATCACATTAATGTCATTGTGAACTTTGTTAACGAGCCTTAAATGTGCCTTGATTTGGTCTGAAATGGGATTGGACGAAGCAAAAAGCTTATCGTAGCAAGGGGAATTTTTCTTTATTTACCATAAGCACATTTCCACCTAAGAGCTGAAATCATAAGAATACAATGTACTTTGAGTTGCCTTGTGTATGAATTGTGATATACAAATAAATTGCATTGCTTTGCCAATGTTATCGATCAATTCATTGCCAAAATATAACCATAAAACAGACTGGAGCGTCCAGTTGAAGGTGCGGTTGAACCAGAACTGATGGTTCCATTTAGTCATATAACCAGAGTAAGAGCTAGAACAGAGTCCAACTACTGTATATGTCAAGTCAATGTCAAGTTTATTTATATAGCACGTTTACTACAACAATCGCTGCCCACAATCACTACTACTACTACTTTCAACAATAGCGTTAAATACATTGTTATCTTACAACTGCTATTATATATTACATATTTAACAAACTTTACCATTTTTACACATTTCAAATCAATGCATGCCTTGTTCCCTCTATCCCTCGAGCTAAACTTTGTATCTGTTTGTCTGTAACGTCTCTCCATCTGCGCAAGCCACTCAACTTCCAATGTCAAAATAAAACATTTTGCTATCAATAATAACAAATCAACTGATCAGCCTTTACACAGACAATATTTTTACCTTTTTTCCTTCCAGTCGGGAGCCAATATCAGGTCTGTGAAAGGACCATTTCCTTCAACCATGCCACAAACATTTGAATACTCATGAAACTGGGAGTAGAAAATTACATTAATATTGATCCAATCTCCTCCAAAAAGGAAAGTATTTGGTTTGTCTAATATGGGCTACTCTCTCTGTTGACAATCGCAGCAATGGAAAGAGCTAGCTTCAGCATTTTGGGCTGGGACTTGGAAATAGTTGTGATTCCGGACGTCCAGTCATCTGCAGTGAACGCGACTGCCTCTGTTTTCTCCAACACCTGCTGTACCTTCCGCTTCTCACCTCATACAGCGGTTGCGTTAATTGTGCAATAAAAATAAATAAAAAAGATTTGCGTTAAGGTTGAACTGACAGAAATGGTTTTTACATTTACTCACTTTGAATCAGTGCTATAACTGGTGATTATAATCCAAAACAGTGAGTTGGAAGGCTAAAGCTAAAGACCAAATGCTAACTGCCGACAGTAAACAGGGTGTTGCTATGCTAATTAGCTGGTGCAGATATATAGTATTCTGACCCACGTTACAGAGTATGCAGATGCCAGGCTGACGTGCTGGTCCCTCTCCCTCTTCCTCCAGCCTCCTTCCTCATCGTCAGCATCGGGGGCACTCTGGTGGGGCTGGTGTTTGCCGTGATCCTCGGCTTCATCACCAGATTCACCAAAAATGTGCGCATCATCGAGCCGCTGTTCGTCTTCCTGCTGGTGTACCTGGCCTACCTCACGGCCGAGCTCTTCTCCCTCTCCGCCATCCTGTCGTGAGCACCTCTTCAGCCCCATTCATACTTTGTACACATATAGTACTCACTGCTGAAGTTTTACTGAACGTACATTTGTCCACATATCGTACCATATACATGTACAGTAATGTGTGTGTGTGATAATGTAGCAGTGAACGCACTGTTGACTCATGATGGTCTCTGTGGTATATTTCTCACTGGTCTCTCTCTCCCTGGTCCCTCTCTCTCTGTCTCTCTCTCACTGGTCTCTCACTGGTCTCTCTCTCCCTGGTTCCTCTCTCTCTGGTCTCTCTCTCAGGTCTCTCTCTGGTCTCTCTTTTGTCTCCCTCTCTCTCTGGTATCTCTAAGCTATCTCTCACTGCTCTCTGGTCTCTCCCTGGTCTCTCTCTGTTCTCTCTTCGGCATCTTTCACTGGTCTCTACCTTTGGTCTCTTCCTAATCTCTCTCTTTGGTTTCTCCCTGGTCTCTCTTTGGTCTCTCTTTTGTATCTCTCTCTGGTGTCTCTCTCTCTCTGGTCGCTCTCTGGTTTCTCTCTCTGATCTCTCGTTTATATCTCTCTCTCTCTGGTCTCCCTCTCTGGTCTCCCTCTCTGGTGTCTCTCTCTGTGCTCTCCCTTTTGTGTCTCTCTCTCTCCTTGGTCTCTATCTCTCTGGTCTCTCTCTCCCTGCTCCCTCTCTCTCAGTCTCTCTCTCTCTCACTGGTCTCTCTCTCTCTGGTATCTCTTTGGTATCTCTCACTGCTCGCTGGTCTCTCCCTGGTCTCTCTTTCTATTCTCTCCGGTATCTTTCACTTTCTCTCTCTCTCCTTGGTCTCTATCTTTCTGGTCCTTCTCCCTGGTCTCTCTCACTGGTCTCTCTCTGGTCCCTGATTTTTCTCTGTATTGAGAAAGACAATGCTAAGCAGCTACCTAAACAAAGCCCAATATGGTGAAGCCCACTTTAGCTCCTTTGGACTAACAGTAAACTCCTCTAACTCAATAACCGTTTGTGTCCCACTCACCATTTCCAAATCCCGAGGTGTAGCGCTTTCTGTGATCCTGGTGTTTATTTTCTGACATTGTCTTTGTAAATGCAAATGGACACAATCAGCTGCGATCATTTGCGTGGGAAACCCCAGCTTGTCTTAGCAGCCATCTGAGCAACACGTCTGCCCCTGTTTCAGCACAAAGCTAACGCCACGGAACAAATGCCCATATAAGGACATTTGCTCCAGCTAGTTTACCCTCAAATTGGCTTCCACTGTGAGACGAATAGAGGAATATGTTATCTTATTTTCAAAAGTCGCCCGTGTGCACAAGACTAGTACATAAATAAAACAAGAAGTACAGGAATAAAACACATTTTTAAAAAGTGCAGGAAATAATTGACACTGAAATCGATCAGCTTTCGGTCAGTCCACTCTCCATTTGGTGTATGACTCTGACCCAGTGTCATTTCCCAAATACTGCATTATTTTATCACGACACACAGATGACGATGGCCTTATCTGAGGAGCCTTCACTTCCATAGCATGAGATTTTCGTTTTGATATTTGGCAGGATGACGTTCTGTGGCATCGGTGCGAACAAATACGTGGAGGCCAACATCTCTCAGAAGTCTCGGACCACCGTCAAGTACACCATGAAGACCCTGGCCAGCATCGCAGAGACCATCATCTTCATCTTCTTGGGGATTTCTGCGGTGGACAAGACCAAATGGGCCTGGGACACCGGGCTGGTCTCCTGCACCCTGGTCTTCATCCTCGTCTTCAGAGCCATCGGTCAGTCCCACCTTCACTGTGTGCTGTAGGTCGTATTCATGTGACATCACAAGACCACAACGAGCCTGTAGTTTAACATTGTGCTGAAGGTGACTTTGGTAAGTTTCAAATGTCAGAATCTAGACTTAGTTTGGAGCAGGTTTTTCTGTCGTTCCTGATAGAATTCACAAACAAAAAGTTGGCACAACGTTCCTACTACTTCCACATTGTCCTCACATATCAATTATGGTGTCTTGCTGGTCTCTCTCTCTCTCTTTCTGGACTTACACTATCCCTGGTCTCAGTCTGGTCACGTTTTGGTCTCTCTCTGCTCTCTCTCTGGTATCTCTGGTCTCTCTCTAGCCTCTCTCTATCTCTGGTTTTCTCTGGTTTTGCTTTCTGGTCTCCAGTGTTGTGCCAGTTCACAACTTTTCTGAACTAGTTCAAGTTCAGTTCATACATGCTCAAAGTGAACAGTTCACGTTCAAAGTTCACATTTTTTATTCTGAATAGTTCAAAGTTCAGTTCATTTTACTTTTTTTGTGATATCTTCAAATAAATATTATTTTCACACTACGAGCTAGAAATCACATTATATATATAAGTATATATCCTGTACACCGCACAGGATGAGAGCCTTTTGACTCTAAAACAGACAAGATCTACATTGGGAGGAAAAAACTGAGTTGTCCCATGTCTGCTCATAAACTACAGACAGTAATGCGCTGCAGTGCGTGTGTCTATACTTTATGTCAAATGTAAACGGTGTAAACTTTGTCGCTAACTCACCCTGTGTTTTCATCACGACTCGGGCACATGTGAAAAGCACCAGCTCACAGCGCCGCACAGCAACACAGAGTCGGGGTGCGTTCACAGACAGTGGAAACTGTAGGAATTTTTAGATTTCGGCGGAAAAAGTGCGAGAATACAGGAGGGAGGAACTTTCTCTCGTTGCGTTTCAAAAGAGAAAACAGATTCCAACGTTCATAGTGATGTCTGCCGTTCATGACACATAAAATGAACTAATTCACGTTCAAGTTCTTTTTTTAAAAATGTGTTGCGTTCAGTTCAACGTTCACGAAAAAATGAGCGTGTTCAATGAACGCGTTCTTTTGAACTCGTTCACGCACAACACTGCTGGTCTCTATGGTCTCAATCCCTGGTCTCTCTCAGGTCTTTCTATCTTTCTGGTTTCTCCTCCTGGATCTCTCTTTGTGTCTCTCTCACTTGTCTCTATATCTCTGGTCTCTATACAGTGCCTTGCGAAAGTATTCGGCCCCCTTGAACCTTTCAACATTTCGCCACATTTCAGGCTTCAAACATAAAGATATAAAATAAAAATTTTTTGTCAAGAATCAACAACAAGTGGGACACAATCGTGAAGTGGAACAAAATGTATTGGATAATTTAAACTTTTTTAACAAATAAAAAACTGAAAAGTGGGGCGTGCAATATTATTCGGCCCCTTGCGCTAATACTTTGTAGCGCCACCTTTTGCTGCAATTACAGCTGCAAGTCGCTTGGGGTATGTTTCTATCACTTTTGCACATCGAGAGACTGGAATTCTTTCCCATTCTTCCTTGCAAAACAGCTGGAGCTCAGTGAGGTTGGATGGAGAGCGTTTGTGAACAGCAGTCTTCAGCTCTTTCCACAGATTCTCGATTGGATTCAGGTCTGGACTTTGACTTGGCCATTCTAACACCTGGATACGTCTATTTGTGAACCATTCCATTGTAGATTTGGCTTTATGTTTTGGATCATTGTCCTGTTGGAAGATAAATCTCCATCCCAGTCTCAGGTCTTTTGCAGACTCCAACAGGTTTTCTTCCAGAATGGTCCTGTATTTGGCTCCATCCATCTTCCCATCAATTCTAGCCATCTTCCCTGTCCCTGCTGAAGAAAAGCAGGCCCAAAGCATGATGCTGCCACCACCATGTTTGACAGTGGGGATGGTGTGTTCAGGGTGAAGAGCTGTGTTGCTTTTACGCCAAACATATCGTTTTGCATTGTGGCCAAAAAGTTTGATTTTGGTTTCATCTGACCAGAGCACCTTCTTCCACATGTTTGGTGTGTCTCCCAGGAGGCTTGTGGCAAACTTTAAACGAGACCTTTTATGGATATCTTTGAGAAATGGTTTTCTTCTTGCCACTCTTCCATAAAGGCCAGATTTGTGCAGTGCACGACTGATTGTTGTCCTATGGACAGACTCTCCCACCTCAGCTGTAGTTATCTGCAGTTCATCCAGAGTGATCATGGGCCTCTTGGCTGCATCTTGTCTCTGCGCTTTAAACAAAACCCTGAGACTATCAAAGAGCAGGTGCATTTATACGGAGACTTGATTACACACAGGTGCATTCTATTTATCATCATCAGTCATTTAGGACAACATTGGATCATTCAAAGATCCTCACTGAACTTCTGGACTGAGTTTGCTGCACTGAAAGTAAAGGGGCCGAATAATATTGCATGCCCCACTTTTCAGTTTTTTATTTGTTAAAAAAGTTTAAATTATCCAATAAATTTCGTTCCACTTCACAATTGTGTCCCACTTGTGGTTGATTCATGACAAAAAATTTAAATTTTATAACTTTATGTTTGAAGCCTGAAATGTGGCGAAATGTTGAAAGGGGGCCGAATACTTTCGCAAGGCACTGTATCTTGGGGCTCTCTCTGGTCTCTTTCTGAACTCACTTTCTCTCTCTCTCTCTCTACTCTCTCTCTGGTCTCTCTCTAGTCTCTCTGGTCGCCTTCTGGTCTCTGTCTCTCTAGTCTCTCTCTTGTCTCTCTCCCTCTCTCTTCCTCTCTCTCTAGTCTCTGATCTCTCACTGGTCTCTCTCTATTCTCTCTTTCTGGTCCATCTACAGACAGAACATGCAAACTCGAGAAAGGCCCCATCTGGCAGTGGAACTAAACCCAGGGCCCTATAACAGCAGCTCTCTCTGTGCTCTGTGTCAGGGGTGATCGGACAGACCTGGGTGCTGAACCGGTTCCGTCTTGTTCCTCTGGATAAGATCGACCAGGTTGTGATGTCGTATGGCGGCCTGCGGGGGGCGGTGGCGTTTGCCCTGGTCGTGCTGCTGGACGCCGAACATGTCAAAGCCAAGGACTACTTTGTTGCCACGACGATCATAGTGGTTTTCTTCACCGTCATGTTCCAGGTCAGAAAGTCAACACTGAGGTTTTATTTGTCCAAAGAGAAAGTAAAATGTTTCGGCATAAGGAATGCTTGTTTTTATTTCTACTTAACACCATGGGATTCAAATTCCAAAACATGAATTACTATGTGTACAACATCGTAGTGCAGAATGCGTTGGTGGAGGAGGGAAAGGGTGCGGGGGGAGGTTGAAAAATATTTTTTAACATCCAAAGAAATGAGCACAGAAAATAATAAATGATAAAATAATACGTAAAAACAAAATAACTACAGTCATGGAAATATGTAGGTGTTAATGTATGTGTATGTATGTATATATATATAAGTGTGGATATGAAAAAATGAAAAACAAAAAAACAATAAAAAGCCAAAATGATATATATTTTTAAACGCCACCTCCTGTCTCCACCGATCCCAGTGCAGTATTTAGCTGTGTATGTGCACATTTGTTTATATCCAAGTTTCTATTATTGTTTTAATTTTGTGTTTTGTGCGTGTCTTGCATAGCGCATTAAAGTAAGTGCCAAACTATCATTGTGTCCTTAGGCAAGACACTTCACCCACATTAGAATGAGTCTGGTGCTGTGTGAATGGTTGGTGGTGGTGGGAGAGGCCGATGGCACGCTCTGGTCTGAGTCATAAAACCAGTTATTGAAATCATTGCTTATTTGTGATAAATTATGAACTTGTTACTGCCCTAAATGTCATTTGGATACGACTGTGAATGTGGCACTTCACCATTTGGCCACTAGGGGCGTGGTACTCATTGTGTCGATACTATTTGAGGCTCAAAGTGTTCTTCTAATCAAACCGAGCCGACAGAAATATGTAATCTCTGTGTCTCCAGACGGTGAAACTACAGACTGCTTTTATTACCGCGTCGTTGCCTCCAAGTTTAATTTTCTCTGTGTTTATCGTCTCAGTGATAACATTTTATTGATGCTCGGGTTCCAACCAGAGCGTCCTCAGTGCCTGAAGTTTGAAAAAAAAAGATATTCAGCTTCCTACTCCTTTTTGAGGTTCAACAGAGTGAAAAAAGGAAACCCTAAAATGTATGAATGTATGTACGTGAAATAAATCCAGTCAGTCAATTAATGTTATCACTGGTGGTAGTGGACTCTCTCTATTTCTGGTCTCTCTCTCTCTCTCGTCTCTCTCCGGTCTCTCTCTCTCTCTCAGCTCTTTCTTTCTATGGTCTCTCTCTGGTCTCAATCTCTTGTCCCTCGCTTGTCTCTCTCTCTCTGGACTCTCTCTGGTTTCTCTGCCATGGTCTCTCTCTGGTCTCACTCGCTGGTCTCTGTCTGGTCTCTCGCTGGTCTCTCGCTGGTCTCTGTCTGGTCTCTCGCTGGTCTCTGTCTGGTCTCTCGCTGGTCTCTGTCTGGTCTCTCGCTGGTCTCTGTCTGGTCTCTCGCTGGTCTCTCTCTGGTCTCACTCGCTGGTCTCTGTCTGGTCTCACTCGCTGGTCTCTCTCTGGTCTCTCTCTCTCTGCTCTCCCTCTGGTTTTCACTGTGTTTATTGGCTCAGTGATAACATGTTATTGATGCTCAGGTTCGGCACGCAAAATTAACAAACACATAGAAGCCATTGGTCCATAGGGAGCAGAACGACAACTGTCCAATGGGAAAAGTGAGGCCCACGGCGAGAGAGGACCAGGACTGAGGCTGTAGATCCAGGACTAAGAAAAATATTCATACAGATATATATATTTCAATAAACTACAGTATTGAAACCATGTAAAATGCAGCTGGAGGGAGGAATCAAGTCAAAAGTTCAAAAATCAATCATCATGAAAACCTTTCTATAGAGAGACTTATTTTGTGTTTTAAAGTAGATGTCTTCTCCCTGTTCCTGCTGCAGGGTCTGACGATCAAACCTCTGGTGAATTGGCTCAAAGTCCCGCGCTCCACCAGCAGAAAACCGACCATCAACGAGGAGATCCATGAGAGGGTGAGCGGGCGACTCCAAGATTCATCTTTCATTCATGGTCCAGTAGTGTGTGTGTTATTATGACCCTGTTGTGTCTCAGGCCTTCGACCACATCCTGACCGCAGTGGAGGACATCGCTGGACTTCAGGGATATCACCACTGGAGAGACAAGTCAGTGTCCGAGCAGAAAAAATATGAAATCCTCTGAAAATGTTCGACTCCAGGTTAAAGCAGCTCTGTTTAGCTGTGGATAACTAAAATTCAGGACTGGGGTTGTCCCTGTTCTAACTGGATTTGGTTTGAAAAGGTTTTGATGAAAAGGTTTCGATGATTCATTCAATCCCCTCCAAAAAGACAGTCTAATTGTCTAATAGCGGCTGCTCAATCTCTGCTTTTGTTATTGATTTTTACAGTGTATAAAACAGAGGCGCCCACACTTATAGACTAACTCAGCTTCATTGTTGGCATATTATAACCAAAAATACAGTTCATTCAAACTGAAATAAAGTCATTCTGTGTATATTAAAATAAGTTCAATGAGGGGGCAGTATGTAAAAATCTGGCCGAATGAGGAACTGCACTCTCCCTGACTCAGGTTGCCAGATAAGCAGACAAATCCAGCTAAGACCATAATATCTGAATAGACAAGATTTTTGTCAACAACAAATCTATAACCAACATCTTTTTCACAAAGGCCCCGAAAGAAATCCTGATTTTATTCCTTGTTTTGTAAATACTGATATTGAGAATCATAAAGAGACCTTTTTTAGTTCTGCGGCCACATGTTTCTTTACCAGTGAGATTAGCTCGACGCAGTAAGTTCTGGCGCCTGGATCATGGACTTTCTGGTTGGTGAAACGGTGGAGGGCGGGACATCCAGATGAAAACAATAACAAGATTTACGAGCAGTGAATTCAGTTTTGAAGTTTAAATATCTCGGTTGAACTACAGTTATCAGTTAAAGAAGAATTGGAAAAGAGCATGTTTTATTAATGCCTTTTGACAGATTAGAGCCCTTTAATGATGACTTGACATGAAAATCATACTTATTGCTTTGAACCAAAATAAACAAACAAATATTAAAGAAGGATTTAAATTTGTTAGGTCAAGCAGTTTTTAACAATTGAAAACATAAGTTAAAGGCTTGTACTTAAAGAAATATACTTAAGTTAGGTCAAGCACTTTAATTCAGAGCTTCAAAGTATGATAGAGTTGTTTTTTTTACAAATGTACATGAATCCCTGCTCCGAGAGGGAAAGCCGACTAAAACACTAATGAGAGATAGGAATGTCCCGATCAAGACTTTTTGCCTCCGATCCCAATCCGATTATTAAACATCAAATCCGATCCGATCTCGAGTCCCAATGCTTTTGAAAATGTGTAAATTATAAAACAAAAATGTTATCAAGTAAACTCAATATATTACAAGATTACATTGACACGTGTGGCTAGCAATGATGCCATGAAAAATCAAAGAGAAGTTAATCAGCCTCAGTTTTTTCTTTCCGGCAAAAGTAAAAAAAAAAATCACTCTCTTGGTTGCTACAGTAACAAAGCTATAACAAATCTTCATCTATAGCTTAACGGTGCTAAACGCGCTCTGATGTATGGGACCCCCGCAACTGACAAGCAGCAATATGCCACAATTTAAATCATAAGTTGAGGGATTTTTATTTTATCTATTTATTTATTTGAATTTAGGGACAGTACATATTAATTTAATGGTCGTGGGTTCGATCCCACCGCGACCCATGCCAACTGCTCCCACTGATGTCTGCTGTGGTTGTGTCCCTGGGCAAGACACTTAACCCCACTTTGCCTGAAGTCCCCACTGAAAGACCAAGGCCGCATTTGTGTCGAAAGAGCAGCCATCTCCCTGTGGACCCACCACCTGCAGGAGGATCAGCGAGGGACTAGGGCTGTGTGAATTGGGTGGCAGTTCTGATTGCCAACCCCCCTGACCCAGAAATGGAAAATAAAGGAATGTAAATGAATGAATGAATGAATGAATGACATATTAATCAATGTGTCTGCAAACGGCGTCAACATAAATATGCTGGAATTAGCACAATCGCTAAATAGCATCCATTGTACTAAGGCAGGTAAGAAATATACAAACCCACAGTTGTATATCTGTAGTAAAACTTTTAGCTGAACATTCCCTTTGCTAGCTTTAGCTGTGTTTCTGCTACAGTACATTAGTCACAATCTTGAGTCCAGACAAATCAACGTTTATGGTCCGTTCCATGTTCAAGTCTGCAGCTATGTTCTATATACAAACTGCTGCATTTGGCATGAGACAAGATTACTTGATTTTGGTACTAACTTTGAAATTCAAGATCAAATGAGTAAGTCTGCAAGTATAGTCACAGTAAAAGCTGCAAATGAGTTATTTTCAGAAATGGTAAATACATCTGGGGCGACAGTGGCTCAGTTGGTAGAGCATTTTTCTCTGAACCTAATGCCTAGCGTACATTGTACTGGCAACTGATTATACAATACAATACAATACAATTTATTCTTGTATAGCCCTAGGTCACAACAGAAGTCATCTCAGAGGACTTAACAAAACCATTGAAATCACCAACACAGGTCAGAGAATCAACAGTTAAAACACATGAAGAATATAAAGCACACACAGAAGAAAATGTCCATACATGTTGTAGAATGCTAAAGTGTCCTGATCATCACCAATCCTTTCTGTTGGACACTAACTGTCCAACAAGACCCTCCTGCATCGACAAGGAAAAACTCTTAAAAAACCCAGTGGGAAAAAGTGAGAAACCTTGGAGGAGAACTAGGGAAACCCACAGGGAGGGAGACCCATATGAGAAAGGGATCCGCTCCTCCGGACGGACAGGCTAATGATCTAGGACCTAAGCTAGCTACAGAACGTGGACCAGTGGACGCTGAACGTGGACAGGTCCGGTGCAGGACTGAAGCACTCCCAGGCGGGTCGGGCGGGGCAGTCCGCAGGTGTAGATGGAGGAGGCCAGGCTCAGAGATCCCGTCATCGTACCATGAAACAGACAATGGGACAACGGGTGAATAGCAATGAACAAACTACAGTCAGAATCCTACAAATGCTAAACAGATAAAGTAGGAAGGAGGAGAGGATAGTGCTCAAGTTACCATACTTCTCCCAGCAAACTGACTCCCTATGCAGCTTGACTAACACTCTGAGGAGTTTAACCTTCTCCGAGTCTTACCTTCCTAGCCATATGCTAAACTAAAGAGGACTGTTTTAAACCTAGCCTTGAATAAAGAATAACATACAGCATAATATATAACATAATATACAACATAACACAATACATTATTGAATAATATATAACATAATATATAACATAATACAGCATATATATATATAATATATACACTACATATTATATATTACCTAATTATATGCTAAATTAAAGTAAAGTGCTTTAAGCCTGGCCTTGAATGTGGAGACCGTATCTGCTTCCTTAACATAAATGGGAAGCTGATTCCACAGTAAAGGAGCTTGGTAGCTAAATGCTCTGCCACCAACAGTGACCTTTGAGACCTTAGGGACCCCCAGACATCTGGCGTTTTGTGAGCGCAACGCTCGACCTGGTTGATACGACACTAACGTGTCTTGGAGATAAGAAGGAGCCAAGCCATTTATGGCTTTATATGTTAAGAGTAGGATTTTAAACTTTATTCTGTACTCCACAGGGAGCCAGTGGAGTGATTTTAACACCGGAGTTATGTGCTCCCTCCTTTTGGTACCTGTTAAGATCCTAGCTGCTGTATTCTGAACGAGCTGGAAGCTCTTCAAAGAGGCTTTAGGGCACGCTGCCAGTAAAGCGTTACAGTAGTCGAGCCTTGAGGTGACAAACGCGTGAATGAGTTTTTCCGCGTCACTTTTAGGAAGGAAATTCCTAATTTTAGCGATGTTCCGTAAGTGGAAGTACGCCGTTTTAGTTGCTTGGCTTATATAAGCCTTGAAGGAGAGTTCTTGGTCAAAAATGACTCCAAGATTCCTCACAGTGTTACTGGGTATTATACTGACATTATCGAGAGTAACCATCTGGTTAGTGAGGGAGTCACGCAGGCGCTTCGGACCGAGTAGGATCACTTCTGTCTTCTCCGGGTTGAGAAGTAGGAAGTTAAGAGTCATCCACATTTTAAGGTCCTTTATGCAGGCACTGAGCTTTTCTAGCTGATCTGTCTGATTAGGCTTCATCGACAGATAAAGCTGTGTGTCATCTGCATAGCAGTGGAAATTAATTCCATGCTTTTGAATAATGTTTCCCAGTGGCAGCATGTAGAGAGTAAAAAGAATCGGTCCGAGTACCGAACCCTGCGGCACACCGAATTCCACTCCAGAATAAGGCGACGAGTCCTGATTCACATTGACGAAGTGATACCGATCTGATAAATAGGATTTAAACCAGCCAAGGGCTGTTCCTCTAAGACCTATATCACATTCTAGCCTCTGCAGTAGAATGCTGTGGTCTATTGTGTCAAATGCAGCACTAAGGTCCAGTAGGACCAGCACTGACACTTGTCCATTATCGGCAGCTAGTAGTAAGTCATTTGTGACTTTGACTAGTGCCGTTTCAGTGCTATGATGAGCTCTGAATCCTGATTGAAAGACTTCAAACATATCATTTTCCTGCAGGTGGCAGCGGAGCTGCTCAGCTATAAGTTTTTCCAGGATTTTATATATAAAAGTGAGGTTTGAGATCGGTCTGTAGTTTGTAAGTATTTCTGGGTCCAGGTTTGTTTTCTTCAGAAGGGGTTTGATTACCGCGGTTTTAAAAGCTTGTGGGACATAGCCACATTGTATGGATGCGTTTATTATATTTACGATAGGCTCAATTATCAAAGGAAGTATGTCTTTGAAGAGCCATGTCGGGACTGCGTCTAACATGCAAGTTGAGGCTTTTGAGGATGTGACCACAGAGATCACCTCTGCTTGGCTCACAGATTATATCCGTTGTATTTGAGTTGCCCCGCACACATCGACAATCTGGCGAAAACGGGCAACTCCAGTATCAGACCAGTCTCGGGAATAACAGCGCGTACATCGACAGCAACTGGCCTCAACTACAGTGTGTTTTCTGGCATAAACTGTTGCGGGCTCGCAATACACGCAATACACACATGTTGTCGGAGCGGCGCATGGAGCGCGCACATCGGGTGACATCTCCGGATCTGAGTACAACTAGTTGCTGAAAAGTAGAACACGAGCAATTGACTGAATCCGGAGACCGACTGTTTATCTCCACTTGTAAGAGCGCGCACATCGACCGATTTCGGCAACTGATCATCTCCATCATCTACTCTCAGTTGCCAAAAGCCGCCTTGCAACTAGTTGTCTCCAGTTTCTCTGTCGATGTACGCTAGGCTTAATGGTCATGGGTTCGATCTCCCCACAACCCATGTCATCTGCTCCCTCTGAGGTCTGCTGTCGTTGTGTCCCTGGGCAAGACACTTAACCCCACATTGCCCAAAGCTGAAACACTAACGCCGTATCTTCGTCAAAGCAGCAGCCATCTTCCCGTTGGACCCACCACCTGCAGGATGTGTAATTTGCAAGGCAGCTCTGATTACCACTCCCCCAACCCAGAAATGGAAAAATAAAGGGGATGGAAATGACAAGACAGTAAATACAGTGCCTTGCGAAAGTATTCGGCCCCCTTACCACATTTCAGGCTTCAAACATAAAGATATAAAATTTTAATTTTTTGTCATGAATCAACAACAAGTGGGACACAATCGTGAAGTGGAACGAAATTTATTGGATGATTTAAACTTTTTTAACAAATAAAAAACTGAAAAGTGGGGCGTGCAATATTATTCGGCCCCTTTACTTTCAGTGCAGCAAACTCACTCCAGAAGTTCAGTGAGGATCTTTGAATGATCCAATGTTGTCCTAAATGACTGATGATGATAAATAGAATGCACCTGTGTGTAATCAAGTCTCCGTATAAATGCACCTGCTCTTTGATAGTCTCAGGGTTCTGTTTAAAGCGCAGAGAGAACCATGAAGACAAAGGAACACACCAGGCAGGTCCGAGATACTGTTGTGGAGAAGTTTAAAGCCGGATTTGGATACAAAAAGATTTCCCAAGCTTTAAACATCTCAAGGAGCACTGTGCAAGCAATCATATTGAAATGGAAGGAGTATCAGACCACTGCAAATCTACCAAGACCCGGCCGTCCCTCCAAACTTTCATCTCAAACAAGGAGAAGACTGATCAGAGATGCAGCCAAGAGGCCCATGATCGCTCTGGATGAACTGCAGATACTTTCGCAAGGCACTGTACATCCATCCATCCATCTTCTTCCCCTTAATCCATTTCTGGGTCGGGGGTGGCAGTAAGAGAGGCACCCAGTACACAGAGTAAATACATATTAAACAGACAGGAAAAATTATCTTGAAAAACTCTCAATATGTTTCAGCTGTAAAGTAAAGTAAGTATGAAAATGAAAAAAGTATTAAATTATAATTCACACATTGGATAATAAGGCCCACTATAAAATGTGTATCATTGAGAAAAACACAGTAAGTCGTTTCGTTCTGTGTTTGTGTGGTTGAGGTGGGAGCAGTTTGACAAGAACTATCTGAGCAAACTTCTGCTGAGGAAGTCCGTGTACCGGAAGAGTGAACTATGGGAGGCCTACCAGAAGATCAACATCCGGGACGCCATCAGTGTCATCGACCAGGTAATCAGATTACTCATAAGCTCTCTGGTCTCGCTCTCTGATCTCGCTCTCTGGTCTCGCTTTCTGGTCTCGCTTTCTGGTCTCGCTCTCTGGTCTTTCTCTCTCCAGTCTCTCTCTGGTCTCGCTCTGGTCTTGCTCTCTGATCTTGCTCTCTGGTCTCGCTCTCTGGTCTGGCTCTCTAGTCTGGCTCTCTGGTCTCGCTGTCTGGTCTCGCTGTCTGGTCTCGCTGTCTGGTCTCGCTGTCTGGTCTCGCTGTCTGGTCTCGCTCTCCGGTCTTTCTCTCTCCAGTCTCTCTCCAATCTCTCTCCAGTCTCTTTCTGGTCTCGCTCTCTGGTCTTTCTCTCTCCAGTCTCTCTCTGGTCTCGCTCTGGTCTTGCTCTCTGGTCTCACTCTCTGGTCTCGCTCTCTGGTCTTTCTCTCTCCAGTCACTCTCCAGTCTCTCTCCAATCTCTCTCCAGTCTCTTTCTGGTCTCGCTCTCTGGTCTTTCTCTCTCCAGTCTCTCTCTGGTCTCGCTCTGGTCTTGCTCTCTGGTCTCACTCTCTGGTCTCGCTCTCTGGTCTTTCTCTCTCCAGTCACTCTCCAGTCTCTCTCCAATCTCTCTCCAGTCTCTTTCTGGTCTCGCTCTCTGGTCTTTTTCTCTCCAGTCTCTCTCCGGTCTGGCTCTTGTCTGGCTCTCTGGTCTCGCTCTCTGGTCTCGCTCTCTGGTCTCGCTCTCTGGTCTCGCTCTCTGGTCTCGCTCTCTGGTCTCGCTCTCTGGTCTCGCTCTCTGGTCTCGCTCTCTGGTCTTTCTCTCTCCAATCGTTCTCCAGTCTCTTTCTGGTCTCTCTCTGGTCGCTCTCTGGTTGCTCTCTCCCTCTGGTCTCCTCTCCCTGATCTCTCTCTCTTTCTGGTCTCTCTCTCGCTCGCTCCGGTCTCTCTCTGTCTCTCCCAGTGTCATGAATCAGGTAATCAGATGACACATAATATTCAATTCAATGTATTTGTGTATCACCCTAAATCCCAACAACAGTGGCCTCAGAGGACTTTACTAAGATGTCAATTCACCAACAACAGATCAGAGAATCAAACAGTTCAAACACAAGAAATAAAACAACACATCTGTATAAAGTGAAGTGAATGTGTGAATGTGTGTGATGTTTTCTCAGGGCGGGAACGTGCTGACCTCCGCTCGCCTCTCGCTTCCGTCGATGGCGTCTCGAGCTTCGTTCCCAGAGTTTACAAACGTCACCAACTATCTGTGAGTTCTGTCTGTGGTTGTGGTTGTGTCGTTAAGCTGTGTGTGTTATTATTAAGAGACGTGTGTGTGTGTGCGTGTGTCTCTCTCTGTACGGGTGTGTGTGTGTCTCTCCCTCTCTCACTCTCTGTGTGTGTCTCTCTCTCTCTCTGTGTCTCGTGTGTGTATGTGTGTGTTTATATTTGTGTTAATCTGTGTGTGTGTTCAACTGTGTGTGTGTGTGTGTGTCTCTCTCTCTTTAACACTCTCTGTGTCTCTGTGTCTGTGTGTGTGTGTGTGTCTCTCTTGCTCTCACTCTCTCTCTCTGTGTCTCGTCTGTGCGTGTGTGTGTGTATGTGTGTGTTCATCTGTGTGTGTGTGTGTGTGTGTCTCTCTCTCTCTCTTTGACACTCTCTGTGTGTCTCTGTGTCTGTGTGTGTGTGTGTGTCTCTCTCTCTCTCTCTCTGTGTCTCGTCTGTGCGTGTGTGTGTGTGTGTATGTGTGTGTTCATCTGTGTGTGTGTGTGTCTCTCTCTCTCTCACTCTCTCTCTCTGTGTCTCGTCTGTGCGTGTGTGTGTGTGTATGTGTGTGTTCATCTGTGTGTGTGTGTGTCTCTCTCTCTCTTTGACACTCTCTGTGTGTCTCTGCGTATGTGTGTGTGTGTGTGTGTGTTTTTCTGTGTCTGTGTGTCTCTCTCTCTCACTCTCTCTCTCTGTGTCTCGTCTGTGCGTGTGTGTATGTGTGTGTGTGTGTGTGTGTGTGTGTGTGTGTGTGTGTGTGTGTGTGTGTGTAGGAGGGAGAATGGCAGTGGTGTGTGTCTGGATCTACAGGTGATCGATAACGTTCCTGGGGCCAAAGTGGAGGAGGACACAGAGACGCACCACTTTCTGGCAGGAAACCTCTACAAACCACGACGACGGGTAAATCCTACTTTAGAATTCTGTTTTTCATATTTTCAACATAAATTATTATTTATTGGCTCATTTTTATCTAGAAAAAGTTGTTGTGTAGTTACTTGCAACATAATAGTTACCAGGTCCCAGTCCCTGGTCTCTCTCTTTGGCCTCTTTCTGGTCCCTCTCCCGTCATTTCTCTTCCCGTGTTACTCTCTCTGGTCCCTCTCTCTGGTCCCTCTCTCTGGTCCGTCTCTCTGGTCCGTCTCTCTGGTCCGTCTCTCTGGTCTCTCTCTCTGGTCTCTCTCTCTGGTCTCTCTCTCTGGTCTCTCTCCGGTCCCTTTCTCTGGTCTCTCTCTCTATGGCCTCTCTGTCTGGTCTTTCTCTCTGGTCTCTTTCTGGTTCCTCTTGGTCGTTTCTCACTCTGGTTTGTCTCTCTGATCTCTCTGTTCTCTCTCTCTGGCCTCTCTTTCTGGTGTCTCTCTCTGGTACCTCTCTCTTTTATCTCTCTCGTCTCTCTCTTTGGTATCTCTATCTGATCTCTCTGTTCTCTCTCTCTGGTCTCTCTCTGGTCCATAATGCCTTAATGCGGCCCAGCTTCACCCAGACTCCCCCTCCTGCGGTCCACAGAGGAAGTGAGTGTGAGAGCCCTGTTCTTGTGTTTGGTGCAGTACCAGTCTCACTACAGCCGTCACTTCATGCCGCTCGGGGAGAAGGAACGCCAGGACCGAGAAGTTTTCCAGAGAAACATGAAATATCGAATGGAGAGCTCCAAGTCCACCAGGCACAAGCGCCACAAGAAGGAACGCAGCCTGAAAAAGGTACAACACTCACACGCACAACTATTTTTATCGTTTTTACATGCACAAAAGTGAGTGATTTATAGTCTTAAACCTCCTCTGACCGCCGTAACCACACGCCACTGTTTTCACTCATGTATGGCTTGTATTTGGATTTATAAAGACAATATCCAGGATCAAGAACACTAAACCACGGATTTTTCTAAGCCGTAAGAGTCAGAGAGAGTTGGAGCCAAACTTTGTCCATGAGCACTTCATTGAGCTATAGTGGGTTAGTCTATGTTAGCATTGTTCGTCTGTGTAGTCTACACATAGAACTAGTTTTTGGGTCTCTTTATTATTTATCAAATCATGCATGTCTGTCTAATGTCCTGCAGAGGGCGCTGTAGAGCTGTGTTTCTGCTACAGTACAGTAGTCACAATCTCGAGTCCAGACAAAGCATTTTTAAAGCTTGTTAACTTGCAAAATGTATGTGATTATCCTCATTTCATTTTCAATTTATTTTGGTGTATCCCTAAATGTGGGCTATCAAAACACAACTCGCTCATTAGAAGTTCTGTTCTTATGTAAAAAGTTTTAGAAATGAGAGCCCAGGTTACACGAGAGAGCCAAATTACACACGTTGAAATAGGAATAGGAAAAACTAGTTCTTTCTACCCTCCGTCTGGGAACATAAAATCAGCAAATGTCTTGGGGACATGATTTATTTCAGTTCAGACAGGAGCCAATACCTTGAAAAAGAAAACGTCCTCAGTTTCAGGCTTTTATAAACAGTGTCAGTGATAAGACTCATAACAACGCCATTATATTCTTCTGGACGTCCTTTCTACTGATCAGAGGCCAGAGAGATAGACCAGAGAGATAGACCAGAGAGATAGACCAGAGAGAGAGACCAGAGAGAGAGACCAGAGAGAGAGACCAGAAAGAGAGACCAGAGAGAGAGACCAGAGAGAGGGAACAGAAATAGATCACTAGAACTCACTGAGAGAGAGAGAGAGAGAGAGACTCCACCACAATGTTAAACTTTAGGCTACACTTGTGATGTCACATGCTTACATGTCATTAAATCTATATCTGTAATCTGTTTGCATTTCACATTATGTGTTTTGAATCTCAGGACCTGTTTACTCTTCTCTTCCTCAGCGACGCGGATCAGATCCAAAGGAGGACAGCACCGAGAGGCCGAGACGCAACGTCAGCTGGCACGACAAAGGTACAACCAAAACAGAGACCAGAGAGAGCCCAGAGAGAGCCCAGAGAGAGACCAGAGAGAGACCAGAGAGAGACCAGAGAGAGACCAGAGAGAGACCAGAGAGAGACCAGAGAGAGACCAGAGAGAGACCAGAGAGAGACCAGAGAGAGACCAGAGAGAGACCAGAGAGAGAGACCGGAGAGAGGATAGTAAGAGACTAGAGTAAGACCAGAGAGAGACCAGAGAGAGACCAGAGAGAGACCAGAGAGAGACCAGAGAGAGACCAGAGAGAGACCAGAGAGAGACCAGAGAGAGACCAGAGAGAGACCAGAGAGAGAGACCGGAGAGAGGATAGTAAGAGACTAGAGTAAGACCAGAGAGAGACCAGATAGAGACCAGTGAGAGAGGATAGTAAGAGACTAGAGTAAGACCAGAGAGAGACCAGATAGAGACCAGTGAGAGAGGATAGTAAGAGACTAGAGTAAGACCAGAGAGAGACCAGATAGAGACCAGTGAGAGAGGATAGTAAGAGACTAGAGTAAGACCAGAGAGAGACCAGATAGAGACCAGTGAGAGAGGATAGTAAGAGACTAGAGTAAGACCAGAGAGAAGACCGGAGAGATGCTAGTGAGAGACTAGAGTAAGACCAAAGAGACACCAGAGAGACACCAGAGAGACACCAGAGAGACACCAGAGAGACACCAGAGAGACACCAGAGAGAGACCAGAGAGAGACCAGAGAGAGACCAGAGAGAGACCAGAGAGAGACCAGAGAGAGACCAGAGAGAGACCAGAGAGAGACCAGAGAGAGACCAGAGAGAGACCAGAGAGAGAGACCGGAGAGAGGATAGTAAGAGACTAGAGTAAGACCAGAGAGAGACCAGATAGAGACCAGTGAGAGAGGATAGTAAGAGACTAGAGTAAGACCAGAGAGAGACCAGAGAGAGACCAGAAAGATGCTAGTGAGAGACCAGAGAGAGGCCAGTGAGAGACTACAGTGAGACCAGAGAGAGACCGGAGAGAGGCCAGTGAGAGAGACCGGAGAGATGCTAGTGAGAGACTACAGTGAGACCAGAGAGAGACCAGAGAGAGGCCAGTGAGAGAGACCGGAGAGATGCTAGTGAGAGACTAGTGAGACCAGAGAGAGACCAGAGAGATGCTAGTGAGAGACTACAGTGAGACCAGAGAGAGACCAGAGAGAGGCCAGTGAGAGAGACCGGAGAGATGCTAGTGAGAGACTAGTGAGACCAGAGAGAGACCAGAGAGATGCTAGTGAGAGACTACAGTGAGACCAGAGAGAGACCAGAGAGAGGCCAGTGAGAGAGACCGGAGAGATGCTAGTGAGAGACTAGTGAGACCAGAGAGAGACCAGAGAGAGACCAGAGAGATGCTAGTGAGAGACTACAGTGAGACCAGATAAAGACCAGAGAGAGACTAGAGAGAGACCAGAGAGAGAGACCAGAGAGAGAGACCAGAGAGAGAGACCAGAGAGAGAGAGACCAGAGAGAGAGAGACCAGAGAGAGAGAGACCAGAGAGAGAGAGACCAGAGAGATAGACCAGAGAGAGAGACCAGAGAGAGAGAGACCAGAGAGGTTTTCAGTCACTGTACATGTGTGTTAAAAAGCTGATCTTTAGACATAAAACTGAAAAAGCTAGGTACCTTCCTCACTCGGCCAATCAGCTCTCAGCCCAAAGAGTCAAATAGTGACTCCCAGGGCTCTGTCTCACCAGTATGCAAGACAAATTTGATAATCAAGAAGCTATGAATCTGTGCTCTAAAATCAAGCTAAACTCATGATTTGTTTTGCGTTGCTGGTGGCAGAGCCGGTGATGGTCCCAGTCGACTCTGAGGACGACAAACATTCAGAAGCAGAGAAAGAGGACGACGAGGGGATCACGTTTGTGGCTCAAAAGGTGGAAACGCCAAAACCACAACCCAAAACAGGTGTGTTTTTATTTAGTCCACACTTAGTCCAGATAAAACACATGTGACATCACAACATTCCACAGAGTAAGTAAGACATCTTTATTTATATACCACAGACCGGAGTCACAAAGCGGTTTACAATTGTGGGCATTTGTCTCTCACTCCCCACAGAGATGGGAGCGGGGCCAGTACAGGAGGGGCATGCCAGACCTATTGTACATGTTTTTAGTGGTAGGGGAAACCGGAGCACATGGAGGTACCCAACACAGACACAGGGAGAACATGCAAACTCCTCTCAGAAAGGCCCTGTTCCGACCGATAAATGTGTAAATGTCAAAAATCAGGTTTTAGTCTTTGTTCGGAGCTATTTTCACTGTAATCCACAAAGTCTCACATCTGCTTTGTCAGAACACATCAACTATGGTCTCTCACTCACTCACTCACTCACTCTCTCTCCAGTCTCTCTCTGGTCTCTCTCTGGTCTCTCTATCTCTGGTCTATGGTCTCTCTCTGGCCTCTCGATCCCTGGTCTATGGTCTCTCTCTGGTCTCTCTGGTCTCTCTGGTCTCTCTATCTCTGGTCTGGTCCAGGGCTGGACTGGCCATCGGGCGTACCGGGCAATGCCCGAAGGGCCGATGCCCATATTTGGGCCGGTCTGTCTGCCTCATACAAAAAACATGTTTGTGAAAAGTGTAAATCCGTTGAGAACTGTTCGAGGGGAGAGCGCGTGTCCGCGGGGCACCTGCTGTATGTACTCGAACGGGATTCCACCACCTCAGCGGCCGCAGTGTTCCCGCATCCAGCGGCTCTGAGCTGGACGCAGGAGCCGCTCACCGGGAGCCGCTCACAACACAACACGGTGAGCGCGTAGCCGCAACGTGACCATGTACCCAAGACCATAAACGCGCACAGGGCCATGCATATCTTTTCGTAATTTGTGCACCCAATAAATGCACCGCTGCAGAAAACAGTCCACGTCTCCCCTCTCCTCTAAATTAAAGCTCCGGTACCTAAATTTTCCATTGTGTTAATGTTTGAGCCCAAAAGTAATATGTTGTGAACAGATTAAACAGATTTAGAGCCAGCTAATGACTGACAATATGCATTTCAGAAATGTTTACCAATTCTCATCCCTGTAACAAACAATATTGTCTGTGCCCACCTCCCTCACTCTGAGACATGGTTATTACTCTCTTGTAATGTAGACTATTGCTCTTTATTTTATTGTTGAAACTGCGGACATCCTGATCCTCTACAGCATTTGCTTCCACATACTGTATAAACCAGGGGTCGGCAACCTTTAGTGCCCCTAAAGTGGCTCCTGGAGCCTTTTCAAAAATGTCTGATAGTGGAGTGTGAGGGCTATATTTTATTTCTAGTTTCAATGTGGTTTCTGTAGGAGGAAAAACATTCTTAACGTTTTTCAATGCTGCAAAAACTTGTATAAGTAATATTCAATTTTAGCATTTCTGTCCAGGGCTGGACTGGGACAAAAAAACGGCCCGGGCATTTTTTCATTTTTAGCGGCCCAGGCAACTCAAAAGGTTCAAGGAGCCATATTTGACAACAACAACAAAAACAGCGTTGTATAAGGCTTATATGAAGGTAACAGGGGCTGAAGCTGTATTAGCTACATTAGCTACCTTAGCTACATTAGCTATATTAGCTATATTAGCTATATTAGCTATATTAGCCTAATATCTAAATGACAAAGGCATTTAGATATTAGGCTAAACACATAAAAACCATTCATGATTATCAAATGTGTGTTTTCATTGCAGCGTGTCCTGGAGAGAATGACACACCACGTGACAACTCTGCTTTAACTTTAACTTCCATTTTTTTGCCTTCTTGAAATTGTACAAATACAGTAAATAAATCTGCTTTTTGGCTCCGAGTTCACCTGCATTACTGTCAGTTCATATCCATCACATCACAGGCGGAAGTTTGCTGGAGCTAAATGTCCTTAATGGCCTTTTCTTTCACCGTCTTATTACTTATACAAGTTTTTGCAGCATTGAAAAACGTTAAGAATGTTTTTCCTCCTACAGAAACCACATTGAAACTAGAAATAAAATATAGCCCTCACACTCCACTATCAGACATTTTTGAAAAGGCTCCAGGAGCCACTTTAGGGGCACTAAAGGTTGCCGACCCCTGGTTTATACAGTATGTGGAAGCAAATACTGTAGAGGATCAGGATGTCTGCAGTTTCAACTATAAAATAGTACAATAAAGTACAAAAAAGTACAATAGTCTACATTAAACAGAGTAATAAACATGTCTCAGAGTGAGGGAGGTGAAACAGACAACACTATTGTTTGTTACAGGGATGAGAATTGGTAAACAATTCTGAAATGCATATTGTCAGCCTTTAGCTGGCTCTAAATCTTTTTAATCTGTTCACAACATTTTACTTTTGGGCTCAAACATGAACTTTTAATGCAATGGAAAATGTAGGTACCCGAGCTTTAATTTAGAGGAGAGGGGAGACGTGGACTGTTTTCTGCAGCGGTGCATTTATTGGGTGCACAAATTACGAAAAGACACGCATGGTCCTGTGCGCGTTTATGGTCTTGGGTACATGGGCACGTTGCGGCTACGCGCTCACCGTGTTGTGTTGTGAGCGGCTCCCGGTGAGCGGCTCCTGCGTCCAGCTCAGAGCCGCTGGATGCGGGAACACTGCGGCCGCTGAGGTGGTGGAATCCCGTTCGAGTACATACAGCAGGTGCCCCGCGGACACGCGCGCTCCCCTCGAACAGTTCTCAACGGATTTACACTTTTCACAAACATCTTTTTTGTATGAGGCAGACAGACCGGCCCAAATATGGGCATCGGCCCTTCGGGCATTGCCCGGTACGCCCGATGGCCAGTCCAGCCCTGTTTCTGTCAACGTAGTGCGTCATATCCTGTGACGCAGCCCGTGCCAGGCTTCAATGAAAACACACGTTTGATAATCATGAATGGTTTTTATGTGTTTGTAGCCTTTACTTTGTCATTTAGATAATAGGCTAATATAGCTAATGTAGCTAAGGTAGCTGTAGACAATGTTATATTAAGTGTCACATTTAGATTGTCCTTATTGCTTACCTTACACCAGTTACCGGGGGTGAACAGTAGGTGTCAGGGTTGAGTTACCCAGTTCATGCCTTACTGCAGTCTAGACCACATGTTCATGTTAGCTGCTAATAAAAAGCTTATTACGCACGGCCAATGGACTGATTCTTATTCACGAATCTACATGGTGTCAGAAGTGGGATTCATCACAAAGACTGCACAGCTCATGAAGACAACCAGAGCTGGTAAAGAAAAAAAGAAAAATCTGATCTCAGCAGAAACGCATGTACAATGGCGGACGGATTCCGACGACCAGATCCTCTCACATTTGACGGCAATGTTGCTGAAAACTGGCGTAAGTTCGAGCAAGAATATGATATATTCATAGCCGCAGCCCACAGTGATAAAAACGCTAAAACTAGAGCCTACATACTCCTCAATCTGGCGGGACCAGAGGCAATAGAAAGAGAGCGTTCATTCACATATGCACCTGCGGTACTCGGAGCAGACGGTGCCGTCGTAACAGCTGCAGAGTCAAGAGAAGACCCAGTGTGTTTGAAAAGAAAGTTCAAGGAAATATGCAATCCCGAAACAAATGTCATAATGGAGAGACACAACTTCAACAAAAGGCAACAGAAACCAGGAGAAACCGTCGAGGCTTATGTTAGTACATTGAGAATCATGGCTATAACGTGCAACTTTGGCGCATTGCAAGACGAACTAATAAGGGACAGATTAGTTTGCGGTGTCAGCAGTGACAGCGTGAGGCGCTCCCTGCTCAAAGAAACTGAATTAACTCTCATAAAAGCAGTTCGCATTTGTCAAATAAGCGAGCTCACTGACCAGCACACTAAAGCCCTTTCTACTCCAAAACACGTGACTTCTGCCAGTGTGGACGCTGTTCAAATAAAACATTACACTCCAAAAAATGCCAACAAATACAGGAAAAAACAAGAGGGCATTTCCACAGGTATTTCAAATTGCAAAAACTGTGGTGGTTCACATCCAGCCAAACGTGAGCAATGCCCTGCATTTGGACAACAATGTCACATCTGCAAGAAATACAATCATTTCAAAAGTCAATGCAGGTCAGCAAGGCCACATCCCAGGCACAAACAAGTGAACCAAATCTCAGAGGTTGACAGCGAAAGTGACGAAGACACGTTTACTATTGAACATTTGACACTCAACGGCGAGGAGAGCACAAAGAAAGAAGGATACTGCACAGTGACTGTAAATGATAAAGATCTAAAGCTCAAAGTTGACACAGGAGCTAAATGCAACGTGATTTCACTGGATACGTTCAAAGACTTTTGCCAAAGAGACACACTGCAAAAATCCGACAAGCAGACAAATCTCATTGCTTTCGGCGGGACAAAGATCAAGTCGGCAGGCACAGTTACTGTCAAATGCACTGTCGCCAAGAAGACCTACGACTTACTTTTCCACGTTGTGAAACAAAATGTACAGTCCATCCTGGGAATGAAGGATAGTGTGAAAATGAAACTGGTCACGTTCAGCAAAGACGGTTTCCATATTGACACTGCTCCTCATGATTCAAGCATCGAACAGGAGGTGTTTTTTGAGTATCAGGACTTATTCAAAGATGAAGTCGGTGATCTACCTGTTGTAATATTCTTGGTACTAGTCCTCACCGTCTGCACACGGCCCTGCAGTCCTTACTGGGCCAAGAGTGGCGGTTACATGGCAAAGTACCTATGCTATGAAGCCCTGGCACGCGCGCTGAAACTTACGAGGAAATGGGATTCATCAATCTGAGAGATCAGCTGCGAACAATTCATCGGCTTACGAGTGCGTTTGATGAATCCCACTTGGGACTTCTTAGAAATCTACTTAAGGATCAACTTGAGAAGAAAGTTGAGTAGTTTCTTACGAAGTTATTCGAGCATGATGCCCATTAGATTGTGAAACGGTGGGGGCGGACATCGAAATAAAAACAA